GGCGGGGGGGGGGGGGGCTGCAGAGTGCCAGCTGGAGCGTTCCTTTACCATAGTCCCTTCACTTTAAAAAAAGTGATTGGAAGCAACATAGCTGCGACATTTCTCAGGAATATCCCTGTTTAGGCAGCGGTGATTGCAGGCATATGGCTTCTCTTCCTGCCTAACCTAATTTAAAGGAGTGCGTAGTGTTTTTTTACTTGTCTTGATCCTCACCCCACCCCCTTCAGATTTTCCACTACAAGGAGCGGTACTTCAGAGGAGGGCAACCTGAAATGCTTGGTGCCCACTTTAGTATTGTGCTGCCCAGTCCTGCAGTCTTCTCTGACACCTCTTGCTCTGAATTATTGTGTCAAAATCTGCAGCCAATGTCTGTGCTGTAGCAACCTTGAGCATGCTGTGTAGATGTGGATCTGTAAGATGAGAATGTACTTTTAATTTATTGATGTTTATTACAGAAAAGAGGTGTTCACAAACTTATGTTATCCCAAACACAGACAGAATTTTAGAAGCAAAAGCCTTAAACTGGGGGTAATTGAGACCCCAAAACTGGTAAAATTTGTTAATGCCAACTTCAGAAAGCTTATCCTTCAGTGCAGCATCACACTGCTTCCTCACCTACCTGTGATTTGTGGCATCCTTAAATTGGTAGGTGTAAATGTCCCATTTTGTCTACTGTACTGATAACTGTGTAATCCACCTTGAGCATGCCTCCCACCATAGAGAAACTTTTCCTGTCCACCCCCCCCCCCACACACACACACAAGTAATCCCAGGGGTTCACTTCCCTCTGTGAAAATACACTTCCCTGCTACACTAGATCAGCAGCTTTTTTCCTCTGGAACTCTGGAAGCATTCTTGTGTGTGAATCAGAGTTTCTTCACATTTAATATAAGCTCTGCAAGGAACTGGAGCCACTGCCCTCGACACTTGCTCAATCCACTGCAAAAATCATCAGCCCTTTTCACCCACCACTCTGTGTGATTCATCCACACCAATCCACTCTCCTCCAAATCTCAAGTCTCCTCCCGTTGACCACTCTTTTCCTTGCACTTCAGACTCATTTAGAGACCTGACCTTCCATAAAGGGACACATATACCCCATGGTGCTGAGGTTCGAGCATGGGTGGGGACTAACAACTGGGAGACCCAGGTTCATAAGCCCCATTCTGTCATGGAAGTTACTGGATGATTTGGGCCAGTCAGTCTCTCAGCCTAACATACCCTGCACCGTTGTTGTGAGAACAAAAACATAGATGGGGAGAATGATGCTTGTAAATTGCTTTGGGTTCCCATTTGGGGAGAAAAGCGCAAAGTACAGATCCCTAGAAAATAAAAATGGTGCAATGAAATCACATTAAGGTGAATAAAATAGAATAATTTTATTATTGTATGTGGCTTACAACTCCTGTTTATCTTAACTTCCAACTACACCCTGCTTTTACATGCCACCTTCCCCAACACAAACGCTCAGCACCTTCCCCAGTCCTGTATGAGCCAGGGATTTTGTTTGGGGGGGGGGGGGGATTAAATGAAAGTAAAATTAACAAATGGTGTGGGAATGCTGAACCCTGGAGGTTTTACCTCACCAATGAAAGAATGATAAGCTGAACCATCCCATAGGAAGCAGTCGGGGGTCTCTGCAAATGGAAAAACCCTCCCCCCCAGGCCCGTAGCTACCACAGGGCCCCGGCCCCCTAGTGGTTTTTATGGGTGAGGGCTCCCTCCCTGAGCCTTGGCTCCCCCTCCCCCCTGATTGCTTGTCAGCGGGGAGGATGAAGGCAGCACAAGCAGCAGAGGCTATGAGGCTGGGCTGAGAGATGCTTGCTGCCCGGCCCACCAGTAGCAGGTAAGCCCACATACCGCAGCTTCATAGCCAGCCCAGCCACTGCATGCCCCGCCTCTCCTGGCCCCATGAGGCAGCTGAGGGTGGACGTCAGGCTGCTCCTGGTGTGGCAACGCAGGAAGGGGTAACTGGGGCTCCTTGGGGAG